ACATAGGCTGAAGTCTAAGCCTTCCTGTGCTACCATTTCTTTTTGGTTTTTATCCACTTTCAAGCCCAGGTGATTGATTGTTTCTGTGAAAACAATTCAAAGAGCAGAACAGAGCATCCTCACTGCTGCTCCAACCCAAATGTTCGTGCTCGGGTGCTTTCTGTGACTTTACTTGATCAGGAAACTGGCATTTCAAAACCTCTGAGGTTGTCTGTCCTGGGGGATGGCAGCAGGGAACACCAGTCTGATTTCTTCCCTCTGATTCTGGATTTTAACCTTTTTCTCTCTGATTTAGGCGCAGACTTAAAGGAACGTGAAAAGATGGATGACGCAGAAGTTGGGCTCTTTGTTAAAAGGCTGAGAAATCTGATGGATGAAATAGGTAAATGATAATCTCATTTTGAAAATCTGTTCCATGCTGTCCCTGTTGAGACATGTATAACTGCTCAGAGGGAGGAAGGATGCTGATCCCAGTAAGCTATCTGTTTAGAGACAGCTCCCCAAACAGCCCAGCTTTAGGCCTCATACAAAGATACATACAGAAGATTAAATACCAGCTATCCTGCTGCTACTGCAAGAACAAGATGCACTTCAGCACTGTCCTTTCCAGGATGAAGAGCAGCACACAGACATGCATATAACGAGTATATGCAATAATAAAGCATTATCTATAAAGTTCCCTGTAATGCTTGGGAGAGAATGCTAGACAGATTGAGTAATGCTGTTTGTCTTGTTTTTAATACACCCTTGAGAGCACTGATGATATGGTTTAAGGACATGGTCTCAGATCTCTGAATCAATCTGTTACATCTAGTGGTTTTTATAACTTCCATACCTCCTCCTTTTAGGAAAGAAATATGTATTTCTACAATTGATTTTCTTGCCCTATTTGTGATTTTTTTTTCTGTTATCACTGGGGAGGAATGCAGAAGTCAAGACTGACAGGAATACCAGTAAGAATAGCAGTAGTAAGGTTACAATATTGAGAGAATGACTGTCTCTCAAACCACAAAAGCAGTGTTAGTGGGAGAGTTTCCCCATGGTAGTGGCACAGAACTAGCACGTGCTTCTGAAGCCTATTCACAGCTCCCTGACTGAATACTTGAAAATATATTATTGTGCAGACAATTGACATATCTCAGTTTGCTCAACTATGAAATCACAATAATATTTGCCAAGCTCAGAAGCCCTGGATAATATTTAGAAAAGCACCTGAAGAATTAACCTTTGTGCCAGTAAATAGGGATAGTACCTTTGCTTTGACTCTTTAATTGTAACTGCTGGAATATACATCATAAATATGCAAGGAGACAATTAATTCTGCTTTGAATTACAGTATTCTAGAAAAGGGTAATGCATTTTACTTTCAGAGAATGAAAGTGCAAAAAAAGACTCAGTTTTTACCACTTGGAGACAATCAGAATGTTTGTGGTAATTATACAAAAGAAAAGGAAATCTTAACCAGTTTTGAAATTCCTGAGAAATTAAATGCTTGAGAAAGCTGTTTCGGGAACCCTCTTTGATAACTTGCATTATTTTCTGTAGCTGCACTTCCTGTACCCACGATTGCTGCAATAGATGGCTATGCTTTGGGTGGTGGATTGGAACTAGCGTTGGCTTGTGACCTTCGAGTAGCAGGTTTGTGTGTTGCTTAATGTAGGATTCTCCTTGCAAGTTTTATTTAAAAGATAGTCAGCAATTACTTTTGTGCTAATAGAACCCAGTTGGCTAACAGAGGAAATGGAGCAGTTCAGGAAATGACTAGGCATTTGTCCACAAATTGTGCCATTTAGTTACTAAAATTACTAAAAGCAATTTCCATGCTTAAAAAGTAAACCCTATGTTTAGGCAAGATTAGAATTCCTTCAGAAAGCTATTGGTGAGATTTAAATAATTATTATTATGTAATATGGGGTCAGCATTCTGGCTTGATGTAGCTTTTACTACTTAAAATCAGTTTTGACCAGAAGCCTTACTTCTCGAGCCTTTTGTTTTTCCTTCCATTACATCTGCTATGGGCCCAAGATTCATTTTTCTAGATAAAATTGCCGCCTTTCGAGTAAGCAGCCAGCCTGCATGTCCCTCACCTGATTTGAGATGGAAATTGATTAAGCACTGAAATATTCAAATTTTTGAGCTATCTGGAGAAATGTAGTTCCACTACAGCATGGACAGGTTGTAGCTCTACTAGTACAACTTCTTTCTATCATGAAAAATAATGTAACCCTCCAAACACGCCCCCTCTTTCTTTTTTTAATAGCTTCATCAGCTAAAATGGGCCTTATTGAAACCACTAGAGGCCTTCTTCCTGGAGCAGGTAATCTTGTTTCATTAATATTCACTCTTTTAGCTAAACAGTAAATATTTGCTATTAGAGCACTGGAAGGGTGTTGGGTTTGATTTTGAGTGTAATTTAGAAACAACATCTTGTAGTGACCAAGAATGAAACTACTATGAATCCGAGGTTTCGTTTCAAGCCCTATCTCTGCCTTGGTATGAATTCAGGCAGTCACTTTTATTTCCCGTTTATGAAAATACTCACAAGGATGCTGAAGACTTTCAGATACTTTGCAAAATATCCTCAGCTGATAACCTCAGCTAGGAATACATGATCCTATATTTTTGTTATAGAAGGAAACAAAATGTGATTACTTTTTCGCATTTCTCAGAGATTGAAAATGGTGTTTTGGCCTTGTCTTAAGGTGGAACCCAGCGTTTGCCCAGATGTATTGGAGTAGCTCTTGCAAAAGAGCTCATTTTCACGGGTAGACAGATCGATGGACAACAGGCCTTCTCGATGGGATTAGTAAATCACACAGTGCCACAGAATGATGAGGGTGATGCAGCTTACCAGAGAGCGTTAACTTTGGCTAAAGAAATCCTTCCTCAGGTCAGTGTATTATTCCCAGGGTCAATGAAGGTGTTGCTGCTTCCCTTAAGAGAAAAGAAAGAATTAACTCTGAAATGCCTTTCCATAAAATACTAAAATTTTAGCGTCTGTCATATAAGTTTCTTAACCTCCCTTTTGTGAATGCAGTTTCTGCAGGAACAAGTGTTGACATCGAGCTACATAACCCATAGGATAGTTTCATCCCATAATTCTGGTTATGTAGACCTGCAAGCCAATCACTGGACCTTATATTGTGTACGTCTAGTAACTGTAAATAATCCCCATTCATATTTTAAAGTGCTTGCTAACTGCAATTCCTACAGGCTGAAAGGTCATTGGAAGGTATAGTAAGGTTACATTATTGTAAACTTATATGGCTTTTTTTTTTT